TCGATCAGTCACAAAAGTTGCCCTGCAAAGCTAAGGACCAAGGGGAACCTACATTTAAAATTTGAGAAAGATCCCTCCGGTACTTCTTGAGAAATACCGATAACAATAATTGTTTAAGGACGGACGACGGACGACGGACGGACCACGGACCACGGACTGAAATAATAAAATTGCATGGGGAGTCAGACAAGTATACCTTTCCTTGCTTTATTTGTTTAGAGTTAACGATATAAAATGATGTAATATTCCTCCTTATTTTGTTTAATGAATGGCCAATAGGTCAAATAAAATAATAACTAAGCTGTAAGTCAAAGACTAACTAATACCCCCAATCCTATATAAACCAAAACTGTAAGCTAAAGGCAAGCTAAGACAAAGCATTGCAAAGTAATCCATAGTTCACTCCACCCCTTCCCCCACAACCACGTCCTAAGGAAAAGTTGTAAAGACAAAGTTTTTTAAACAAAGGGCCATAACTACTTAAAAACGGTCGAACTGAAAAACGTTCTACCCTGATGCACGTACCCTGATGCACGACATCAGGGGGTAATAACCATATCTGTAAATATTCTTTGAAATCGACCCAGTAGTTTATGTGGCAGACAAAGGTTCTTTTTCTACAAAGGGCCATAACTCCTTTTCAAAGATTCGGAATGAAAACATATTATTTTAGATGCACAATGTCAGGGGGCAGTTACCATATCTGTAAATTTTCGTTGAAATTGGCTTCATAGTTTTAGAGGACTTACCAGGACACGACACGTATTTTTAAAACAAAGGGCTATTACTCCGTACAAAAATGGGTCATATTGAAAAAATTATATCTGGATGCACAGCATCAGGTGGAAGATATCATATCTGAAAACTTTCGTTGAAATTGACCCCTTAGTTTTGGAGGGCATGTCTGGACAAGATTTTTTCATCAAAGGGCCATAACTTTGTAAAAAAAAAAAAAGGATCAAAATGAAAACATAATACCTGGATGCATAACTTGAGGTGGTAGTTATCATATCTGGAAACTTTCGCTGAAATTGGTCCATTACTTTAGAAGGAGTTGTCCGGACAATCCTTTGCTACAGACGGAAAGACAGACAAGCTGATTCCAGTATACCCCCTAACTTTGTTCCAGGGGGTATAATAAAGTGTATAATAGTTTTACTATGAGGATTATCTAATTGTTTTTATATAATTGCATATCTTTGTCGATAACACAATATCAACCTTAAGTAGTTCTCCAGAGGAAAGATTACTTTGGCAGACTACGTATTCATGAGTTATAACTGCTGCATATAACTTTAAAACATGCGTCATATAATAAAGTGTTTTGGTATGATACAAAAACAGAAAATGTATCGGTATTTACCATCATAAACATTGATAATCAAATCTTCAAGATTATGTGAAATTGGGCATTGATCATGTTTGGTATGCTAATAAAGTACTTAACCGGTTGTTATATTACATAAAAATGATTCAGTAGACAGAATACATATATGGATTTTTTTTAAAGAAGTTTAAAATATAGACTACCACTGTAACTATATATAGGCAAGTTTACAATGTTGATTATATTTTAAATTTTGTGAACATTTTGCATGTTTGTCTAATTAAAAGTATCACTACGCTTACTTCAGATATACCAATATGACATATTTAGTATCAAAATAACAGTAATGTTATACACTGTACACTATCATAATACATTTTCAAAATAACATTCGCCTGTGACATTTATCTATCATTTTGTTAGGATACCCCCGTCACTCAACCTGGTGTTATACAAGGAGGTCCACTACGGTTATCAGTAGCATTTATTATTAACTATTTATGCAGTTATTGATAATTTTTATGTATCTACATATGGCAAAAGAATAAAAGAAATCCAAGTGGGGGCCAAATGTTGTCCCCACCTTCAGAGGTAAGCCCATTATGTAGATGCAGACTAGTCGAAAGTAGTTACTACTTTCAACTGATATGTAATAAGTATACTAGAATAAGACAAAATACTATAAATAGCTTAAACATTAACCTTACTGAAAATAATCTACTATGGGAAAGTACTGAATAGAACAAAGAAATATTTGTATCAGTCCATATTTTTATCAAACTCAGTAAACGGTTAAGTTAATCATTACTTGTACACATGTTCATGTACGACCTTATTATTGTAGTTATTATTTTAAATAGTTTCTACATCAATTATATATTGTAATTGAAAGTGCTTTTTATTGTATTTATATTCTAAAAACATTATATCAAGAAATATGCGTATCATAAGTACATGTGTGAGTTTGAGTGTTTCACCATGTGCATGCGTACGTGTTCGAGCATCGTCCGTCCGTCCATCCATGGGTGGATGAGTGCAAGTGTGCGTGCACCTCAATACCAAAACGTATATTACGTGTCACTGATTTTTAATCTAACGTGTTATTCATTAAATTAGTAGGTTTCAATTTCAATTTTTACCACCTGTAAATATGTTATAAGCTTAAACTTTATCTGATTCAAATTACTAAGGTAGTCAAGGTGTCAGCAGTCTCGAGGAATTATTTTCCTGTAATATATACTTGGGAGAGGAATTAATATCAGCTCTAAGCTTGTTTTCCAATCCCTGTGTAATGTTATTTGTGTTTTTAACATGTTTGAACATAAAATAAATACTGTTTAAACTAAACCATATTCTTATCTAATATCCGCGATATTTTACCATATAATGTCATTGTTATTAATCTCCTGAATTTGACCATCGCGTCTTTTAAATAAACCTCTTTTTACAACACAGTATAGACTTTCCCATTTGTGCTGATTTTACAAATCATTCACAAAGAGACGGTTTTATCTAACGTTATTTCCGTCCCGTGTTGCTTGGTCATTAAAAAATATGTCAGTACGCCTTAAAAACATGTTTAACGCATAACGTAGAGTGAGTAATATAGTGTAACACAATGTTTCATAAAAGTCTGGTTATCTTCATAGGACGCTAGCCTTTATCACGTCCGAAACTTTCCGGAAAAAAATGAAATTGTTACTCTACAAGGAGAAGGAAAATTAATAAATAAAAAATCATAAACAAACAAAAAATATTTAAATTTTGTTTAAATATTAAAGATAATTTCTTAGTTTTATCCTTTTTTAGCACTTTTTCCAAGGCATCGTTTCGATTGCTTTACTGGTATTTTGACAGCAGAAATGTTACTATGGTATAGTGATATAAGTTATTGCCGAAATACATTTATGTATCATTCTCATTGTTCTTATAAAAAAAAGTTTAAACATATTGTTAAAACAGAAAAGAAAACAAACAGAGAGTTCTTTAATATATCGAATAATACTTATAGAAATAAGAAGTGATTGTGCTTGGATTGTAAATATTATCATAAAACAAAGAAGGACCATCAATGTTACTTGATATGAAATAATATTATTGGTATTCAAATGTACATTCTTCTAATAAGGTAAGGCGTCACTATTAATGTCGACAATGAGAATATTTGTTTCAGTCTGTTGTGTTAATGAAACAAAACTAATTAACATTGTGTCCTAAAAATGTTGATGTTACTCTATCCGTTTTATTTATATACATAACAAATACATTCAATATGAATTTGAGATAATAATAATATATGTGTAATCCGATAACCTTTAATAAAGAAATGGATACATTCAATATCAATGAGGTTAATAGGACTTGGCTTCAAATCACCTTTAATAAAGAAAAGGAAATCATATTTTGTTATTTTTCAAATACCGCAATTAACTGTTATCAATCATGTTGTTTAGAATCGAGAAGTGACCGAGCGAACGTTTACCTAGGAACATCCGCGCGTGACCTCATCCCGTACACACCTGAGCGGCTAGTATCACCCCTCTCTTTAGTCAACACCTTTACCTGACATTCCCTTTATTGTTAATGCATGTCAGATGCAATGTTAGTTCGGACTGATTTAAAACTGTATTACCTTCCCATCAAACGGATCACGTCGATGACCCATGTAGCTGTGTTATCCTTACATGTTTGTGGTCCGCGTGAATGGTGCCTCGAGTTCGCAGGATGAGTATATAAGACCCCGGTGTTGCTCCACAAATCGTACCACACTGTCACCGAAGCCGACCAACAGCCCACCAGCAGCCCTACAGCTCATCACAAAAAGGTACGTCCAGCTTCACTTTAAATTTGTATTCATCGTTAAATGTTTTTCATAGTGTTATGCAACGTACGTTCTTGCCTCCTGACCTATTAACTTCAGAATCTCCCGACATCTTTAAAACCACTCTCTAATCCATTAGTATCTCATACATACGACCAAACATCCTTCTTTTGCAATCAGACACTTTCACAACCCTACATTGATATGATGAAGTAGGCCAATTATTCGGTAGACCATATAGAATTGTTGTTATCTCAGCTAAGCATTTCTACCTTCATCGCCATTTTTTTAATCAATGTATTTTGAATGTTTTATTGTCCACGCCATTTACTTAATGTAGTCTAATCTTAAATATTTGCGAAGGCAAAACCCTTATCCGTCATATACCTGAGGCATTTGGAGGGCCTACCGTTCAATTAATTTGTAAACGCGGTTTATTCATGAAAAAGGTCTTTATCACGGCAAAGCCCTTGTTGAAATGTCGCTTATTTTTTATATATATATAAATGTATTTCCGATCAGTATCAGCTGTTTTATACTAGAATAAAGAGTGTTACACGAATGGCTATTTTCTATATTTACGCTTTCTTATCTGGTAACACTACAGATGAAACTCTCTACATGTTTTTATTTCTCCGCAAAAATAGCAATGTGTGACAGGAAAGCTGTATATTGTATGTATTCAAAATACTTCTGAATCAAGCCATACAAATCAGATATACACAGCGTAATTACAAAAAAGATTCAAAAAAAGTAATGTCGAGAACATTCGAATTACATACATAAAAGTAAATGACACATATTCATCTTCAAGCTATACATTCGATATCGTAAGGTATCTTTAAAAGAACAAAAACAGAAAACCCGTCATGTATCTATTTCACACACTTTATATCTGCATCTGTATGCATTGATAGTGATTGAAGTAACAAGTTTTCAATCGAATCATATATATCAATATGATATATTTTAATTGACGAATCAACTTCAAATGTTGACTGTTGGTACCTTGTAGACCTTCAAGATGAACGCTTACCTATTCGTTTCCATGGCGTCTGCCATTGTTGTCGCTACCAACGCGGCTGGTAAGTAGACAATCGATAACTGATACAATGATGCAAATAGTATGACAACTTAGTTTCCTTAAAAACGATATTTTAGATTTTGTCGTATGGTAAAGGTGATATTAAGAAAAAAAAACATCAACTCTATGCTGACATTTAGCAGGAAATGCTTAATTCGTACTCAAACCAATAATGCAAATCAATGAAATTTCGTGAGATTACGTTAATAAGCTGAGAGAAGCAGATATCACATTAAAATACATTGGAAATATTACAAAGACAAAAAACATGTTGATAAGTAAATAATTAAAATTCATAAAATCTTCTCAAAAATAACACAAAGGCGATTGCCACATGTGGTATAGAAACACTTACCCTTCTGGAACGTATGGTTCCGTCTTTGGTTCATAGGTTTGGAATTAAGACGTCTGTCCTTTCGTTTTGGTGTTCCAACAGTTCCTGATTTCTATTTTTATATTCGAGTTTTGATTTCGTTATTGTTTATCGACGCTGTGGTTTCATTTTCTATTTTACTTTGTTGTAATGTTTTGATGATTTGATTTTATCTATATTTATTTTCTTTTTCTTTTAAATGTTTTTTTCAAATTGAAGTATCTTTAAGGAACCTAGGAATAACGTTTACATATCTTTATTTTTCAAAATGTTTAATAGCTATTTCAGTTGATAGATATTGAAATAAATAACAGTTAGAAACAAATGCTGTAATGTTTTTATGAATTATTTTTGGAAATGTCTTTACAAAACCAAGTGTTAAAGAAAGTTTATATGGAACCTGGAAATATGAGTTTAGATATCAAATTATTAATTTTCAAAATGATTTTATTGCCATTTCATCATATGTTGTAACGTTTTAATAAATATATTTTCGGAAATGTCTTTGCAAAACTAAATGATAAAGTAAGTTTATGGAACCTAGGAAAATGGTTAAAATATCATAATATTAATTTTCTAAGTGGTTTTATTGCCATTTCAGTTGAACGATATCGAAATAAATAACACATTTAGTAGTACTAAGTAGAATCAGAATAGTTGTGATTTTATTAACTACATACAGAGTTTCTCCATTCTTGGTGCACGGTATAATTAACAGTAAATACATCCTATGATAACGATTTGTTAGTTATCAGTGTAATATATTAATCATGTTATATCGTTAACAAAATATAACTTTTTATAACTTTATACCAATTAATACTAGGATATGGAATGATGAACAACGGTTACGGGATGAACAACGGTTATGGAATGAACAATGGCTATGGAATGAACAATGGCTATGGAATGAATAATGGCGGACGTAAGTTTGAATCCTATAAGTTATATATGGTAGTAATTTTAAATGTAGAACATTACAATTAAAAAGTTAAACTCCTATAACAGTAAAACGAGACATTTATATACAGTAATATTTTTTTAAAGAATATCATAATTAAAATATAAATAAAACCTTAGGCTACTATAAAGTAAAAAGTAATCATTTATGTACAGTAGTATTTTTCGAGAAAGGAGATATAATTAAGATATAAATAAAATATCTTATTTTCTTTATATACATAAATAGCACGGTACCTCTGCAGACTATGATAGAATCTCAATGTTGTGAAACTTTGGTTTATGTTGTCCTTCCTTATTTCTAGGTTACAAGCGTGGTAAGTAGACATTGATTTTTTTAAAAATATTTTTAGATTAACGTTTATTTATTACATAATTGATATATCGATCCCTAGAGTCATTATTCTAGTGGTATTTAAAACACGTACAAATGTATCATTTATGTCTGATGTAATGCAGTGAAGACCATATGTCATATGTAATATGCATTATACTTTTATACTTTCCAATTTTGACGTCAGAAAAAACATGATACCATATACTTCAAGGTTGCCTCTTGACGATGACCAGATACAATAAATTATTTTCAGAACATTAGCATGAGTTCTGGGTTGTGTGAATGCTAGACTCATTTAATAATAGCATCCTAATTCAGAACACATTAAAGATCCTATATATATAGATGATGCTAAACTGTCACTATTTTATATTTTCAGCTGCCTATGGTATGGGAGGAGGCATGGGAGGAGGCATGGGAGGAATGGGCGGTATGCCTGGTATGGGAATGGGCGGTATGATGGGCGGTAAAGGAGGAATGGGCGGAGGAATGGGCGGTATGCCTGGTAGGGGAATGGGCGGTATGATGGGCGGAAAAGGAGGCATGGGCGGAGGAATGGGCGGTATGCCCGGTATGGGAATGGGCGGGATGATGGGCGGAAAAGGAGGCATGGGCGGAGGTATGTGCGGTATGTCTGGTATGGGAATGGGCGGGATGATGGGCGGAAAAGGAGGCATGGGCGGAGGAATGGGCGGTATGCCCGGTATGGGAATGGGCGGTATGATGGGCGGAAAAGGAGGCATGGGCGGAGGTATGGGCGGTATGTCTGGTATGGGAATGGGCGGTATGATGGGCGGAAAAGGAGGCATGGGCGGAGGTATGGGCGGAGGCATGGGCGGAGGAATGGCAGGCATGGGTAAGCAATACCTTTGTTTATTATTTTTATATATTTTACTCGAATTCAAAATATAGTAAATAAAAATTATTGTTCAGTAATTAAATATAGGGAATACATTAGTACATTTGTTTGATTCTATACAAACAGGACTTAAAATCGTATTATCACCATCCGTCCGTCCAAATATTTTTTCACCATATATAGCAGAATTTACATAACGTATTCAGCTATTACAAGCTACAATATATTCGACGTTAAAAAACCTCCGTGATTGACTTATCCACAAATCTCTGTCTGGTCGATTCATAATGGTCTTCCTGTGCTTTGAACGTTTCCGATCAACTATTTCGGTGGAGCATGGTAGAGTTTACCATTCCTCCAAAACATAGTGAGAGTTATTGCCCTTGAAATTTTATCGTGTTTATCGCCATCAAATACCTCAATACCTGACTGCAAAATACAATGGCGAGTGTATTATAGACCCGAGTAATTGAAAGAATCTTGTTTAACCTTTGTAATTCTAAAACAGCAATTGCCCAACGTAATTCAACTACATTAACAGTATCCCGGCTGTTCTCCAAATCACTCTATTACTAACATAACGTTAAATGCATTAATAATGATTCTAATATTAAATTGATATTTATTAACCTGCATGTACACTTAGACTGAATTGTTGTTGTTGTTTTTGTTGATACCTATTGCGTTGTTCCCTCTTTTACAGGTGGAAGATACTAGCCGGCTTAACCTGACCCACAACAAAGCTTGGTGTATCTGGATTAAAAACACAATCAAATGGAGAAATAAAATAACGGGTACTTGCATTCAAAATAATCTTTGTTACTTAATTCTTTCTGTCATGCTGTCACTTCCTCTGTCTTTCAAGTAAACTTTCTTCTGCATGAAGTTAATGATGGAGATTCAATATTCTCCTAACTCGTTGACTTCAGCTGATGCTAATACGAGTATTTATAGTTTCAAAAGATTACTGGAAGATCGTGCAATATACTAGGTGTAGGGAATCCTGTACAAATCATGGACACAATATAAAGATACAATTCACTTTCACGAAACAAGACTCAATATACAATATTCTTTGTTAAGTGTTGAATGTGACAGACAGGTAAAATAAACTCCCCTGAACATCTTTTTTTCGACCATCAGTAGTAAAGCAGCACGTTCACAAACAGATAACAATATTGTCGCATAAAACATAATACAATATACAAAGACAGTGAGAGCAAGCACCATATAAAGCAACAAAACACAGAAAAATTACTAAACCAAACTTAAAAGAAGAATGTTATATACAAACATAAAGTTTGAGAATGCATACACTGTATACCGGAAAACGTTAAATAGGTGTCCTTCACAGGTAAAAGTTATATTCTCTCAGTGTTAATTCCGTCTTTGCGTATTGCAGAGTTATCTTCTCTTGTGAGCAGGTATTGATTTTTATGTCTCTGGTTTGTGTGAGAAAATAACGTCGTTTTCTCAAAAATTGATGAGGTTACTCTCACAAACAAATGACGTAACAATCAATACCTGCTCACAAGAGCAGATAATTCTGCAATACGAAAAGACGGAATAGCGCCTCCTCATTACTATATAAAGTCTGTTGTGTACAAGTATTCTCTGTCATGATAAATTCGCCCTCATAGCAGAGGACGATACAGGGCCAAATTGATACTGCGGCGAAATTGTTCTGGTATACAATAGTATACCGAAATATACTGTCACATAGAACATAATCATACATCATAGTTAAAAAATAACTCTTATTTGCTGTAATATAATGTAAGTACAGGTACAGTAGGGTCACCAAGATTAAAATACAAGCGTAACAAAATGTAAAATGAATATATGCTAAGATAGCAAAAGGTAAGAGGTAAAATACATACATAAATATGGCACGAGCTAAAATAATAAGACTTATTTAATTAAATCCTTCGACAAACAGTAAAGCAATGTGTTACGAAGGTATGTAGTCATGGTGCCTGATAATGTATAAAGTCAACATAGATACTGAGTTCATGGTCCATTTTTATTACCTAAGAATAATACATATAATCAATCCCACACATACCCACTCACTCACGGTAAATACAAATATAGTTTATCAAATATGTAGAATGACAGAAGACCTAGGCAAGTTAACATTGGCAAATAATGCTCATAATTATAAACTGTAGAGTTAATTCTCCACAACATCTGCAATGTCCATCCACTTGGTTAGGTAACGTTCAGTAGGTAAAACAGCCCTGTACTATGGTACTGTTCAACCAACGAAAGTTCTCTCCACTGTACTCCATAATAGTACTGTTCACTTCATAATGTTCATGTACCCCTCGGTGGGTTAATTCACCGTTAAATACAGTATAATTATTACAGGTTAATATATATACTCAGTATTACCTTACTGATATAAACATGGACACATATTACTTCCATAAATCCGTTTATAATAGACACCGGACTATTATACACCAACTGTGGTACACACAATACTTCACTATGTCCACCCGCCACATCACTTCCGATACCCTGTGACCTCGAAAGGATTCCGCCACAAAACAGAATCCCACACGTGACCTTCACCTCACGGAACTAACTCTGCCACATCATCATGTCGCATATCTTGGCGACACTAAACTCTAGACGCCAACACTGCATGCCCATATCTCTATATAGACTGTATGGAAGACGCCAAGCCAGCCCTGCCATCACCAATGTCGAGTACTAGGCCATTTACAAAACCCCTACAACAACAAAATATTCACCTTATATCGATAACTGCATGGGCGGCCATTTTACATACGAAGTATAACAACCACAATGTTTTCAAGGTTTCCAAATAACAAACCTATAAACTCTTTACTCAAAATTTACCACACTATAAATGAAACAACACAGCAGCTTACCTGCATCTACAGCTATAGAAAGTTTAACCCCACCCCGGGACCAACAACGAGTCCGGGGTCCAGATACCCCTCCATCACCTGCAGCCTGCCTCGCCAATGTGCTGACAACACACGTGCACCCCTCGCTTTCCGCTTTTGCACACGACAAGTTTTCTCTCCTAACAAAAGAGCTCCACAAGGGACTTAACTCTAGCAAAGCACTGATCCCAACTTTTAAGGTGTCACCACTAACAACTACATCACATTCCTCCCCACCGAGTGTCTTAGTACAACCAACACATGAATAGCTTAAACTATTAAACCTTACCCAACCATAGTACCTCCAACTTACTGACAACTTCTTAAACATCTAACAAGCCCGACTAAGTTCATCCGCCTGTATGTTTTCTTTTCCTGGAACATATTTTGTAGTAAAACGATACTCCTGCAGTGCTAAACTCCATCTGAGGAGACGCTGATTCTCAGATTTCTTCATCTGTAACCACTGAAGAGGACAATGGTCCGTTTCCACAATGAATTATCTTCCAAAGAGATATACATGTAAGCTCCGGATAGCCCATACCATTGCATAGGCTTCTTTCTCCACTGTAGCATACGATTGCTCTCTCGCAGAGAGCTTCTTACTAATGTACGCCACTGGCCTACATCCACCTGGCCCTTCTCGTAACAAGACAGCTCCAATTCTTTGTTGAGACGCGTCTGTTTGTACAATGAACATCTTCTCAAAATTTAGACTCTGTAAAACTTGGTGTTTACATAATGGTGACCTCAACTCCTCGAACGACTTTTGATGAACCTCGGTCCATGTCACTTTGTTTTGGCAGTTTATTAGATGTTAAATCTGTCAAAGGGGCGGCCAACTGTGAGAAGTTTTGAATATATTTCCTGTAGAAACCTACTGTACCAAGGAATCTTCTTATATCCCTTTTTGTTTGTGGTTGTTGAACTCACAAATAGCTTGAGAAAGAAGTCAAAGGAGAACACAGCATAAGAACCAAAATTAAACAAAGAGACACATCGAACACTTACATTTCCTGCAAATAATGCTTCTAGGTTTCTCGCAAATAATAAGCCTTACGCTACTCCCAAACAAAGATGACTACGAGTGGAACTTTTTGTAGAAAATATTGTTAAACAACGACGTATGTGTTTGATGACGACTCTGGACAATAAAACATCATGAAGAATTTTGATATATTTATTATAGATACATGTAACAAAAATAATTACACTTATAAATATATCTATTATACTAGTACCATCATATTATATGTCTGATATATGAATATTAGATATTTCTAAAGCTTCGGGTCCGGACAGTATAAGTCCGAGAAGTACTAAGGAAGCAAATGTAGATGTTATCACAAAATTATTAAACAAACCTTTACCTGTGGTAAATATCCTTCCATTTGGAAAGTTGCAAATGTCACACCTGTATGAAAAACAAGAGATCCCAGAAGGATCTTGGCGCCCACCATTGAACCATCTTCATTAGTTCTTTGTCAGTTCGATCTTTTCTCTTCTTTCCTCTAATTTGTTTGATTGAGTCATGTTAACAGTTAATGCACCTTGAGGTAACTTTTGATCTAAACTTAATACTGATGTGTATGAAAGCCAACCTTCAAAGTGAGTTTGTCATTTCACATATTTACTAGTACAGTACTTAATGTGAAAGAAATAGAATCGATTATTGCAATATGAGAAAGATCTGTTTAGTTCTTCTTTTAATCCATTTTGTTTTTATGATCAGTCTCAAAATATAACAT